CATTGTCTTGACTTATTCAAGACCACTAGACCAGATTGTTTAGGCAGAAAGCCTTGGGTTGACAGGGAAGTATTTGGGAGAAATGTTCGGAGGCATTTGACAATCAACTGCTTTATACTAGCTGATTCACTGCCTGTGTCTCAACGAACGTCTCGCTGGGCTAACCTTAAGTTGTTCAACGTTTGAAACCGCAAGTGATGCAAACGCGGTTAGATAAATTGTCAGCCTGAACTAGACTTATTTTACTCTCTCTGCAAAGATCAGCAAGGCATACGGCGAAGTTTTCCCTTGTACTTCTTTGGAAAAGGTTTATTATTATAGCTGACGAAGACAAAGTATCGGTATATTACATGTAAACTTTTATCAAATCCCGTTGGAAGTACAGTTAATATTGCTAACCTTCGCTCATCCTTCAACGTTAATTTAAATTGAAAGGTTTCTCAAATACATTCAGTTACTTCTTCGAAGAGATAAACAAAGTCATGGTTTTATACGCCAAAGTCATGGTTTTATACATTGCGAAATGTCGTACGAGTTAAATATTTGCACGATATTAACTCATGGGGCACTTCTGACCAATGGGAATTTTGCGTACGCTCCGTACGCATAAATCGACTTTTTACTAATAAAGGTCGCAGGCCGTACCTCCCATGCAGCCTCTGCCTGACAACGGCCTGCGAGCAGGCTACGATGAAGGTAGCCTTTCCTGCCAGTAACGAGAAAGCTTCGGATTGATAGGGATACAACTCTCTGAAAATTTTAGGAGAATTTCGACGTTTATAGCGAAGGCCCTTCGATCGGGAAGTTAGTATGGCGAAACGTCGAAGTTCTCCTTGTATTTTTTAGGTAGTTGTATCCCTATCAATCCTTATTACTGGCAGGAAAGTCTACCTTCATTGGGGTAATATGTAATGTCCTTCGCATGCAATGTTCTTTGCCAGTTTTGTCAACATAGGAAATGCGTAGTTGCCATGAGAACTACAACAGGCAAACGCCAGTGGAAGAATGTGAAAACGTCTTTTGGAAAGTTGAATAAATCTGAAGGTTATATCGTACGGTTCCATGCTAAATTGTTTCCAAACTCGGAAATTCAAACTTTCCAACTACAAGACTCATAAGAGCAACTGATTTATGTTTCGTGAGAAGGTGGCATGAAGCGAGTGTAAAATCAACACTAACAATCTCGTTCCCCGAGCCTGTAAACACTAACACCTCTAGGGAACACCTTTCCACTTTCCAAACAATAGCGGGACCGCACCCTAATATAAACAAAGAGAGAAGGCCCTCAACATGATCAGATGAAAAATCTCTAGAATTCAAAAGAGGCAACATCATGGAGCTGTTGCATACGAGGCTACATAAGCTGCACTAGAGTTTGAATATATAGAGAGACCTTTCAGACGTTTTTCCATTGGCCTATTTGGAACACTGAACGTTTGCGTGAGTTATATTTGTTTTTAGAAAGTGTTCTCTATCATAATCCCAAGTTGTTGACATTTTAAACGCGGCAGAAGAAACCGAATTAACTCCATGGTGGCATTTGGAAACAACTGGAAACTCTCTTCTTTTATGACGGCACAGGTCTTCTGGCAAGAGAGGAGTTGTATGTTAGCCAATGTCTCTGCGTTACATATTGCATTTACGTAATTTGAGCCGACTCTGAGTACCAGGGGGTAAGCTTGGTATCCTTACTAGACCTCTAGGGAGAATAGTT